TTATTTTACGTCAATTTATGTTGGCAGAGCTTTTACTGTTAGCTTAAGCTCTTTCTTCATTGTTTTATAATAAAATATTATTTAAATATTTCGTTATTACTGTAAACAACACCATTTTACTACGAAATTTAATTCTTTTTATAATACACTTCGTTGTTTTACGAAAAGCCCAATTCTTTAGAGAGGATTTTTTTGACTTTTTGTCCCACCAAAGTTTTAGTGAATCGCGTCACCTTTCTTCCTTGCAGGACCTGAGGACATAATTACATATTTTCGCCCTCATTTTACATTTAAATATTGCCATAGATTGCTGCCCCCCCCCCTATTAGATGTACAGAGGAAACGTTTATTCATTTTGGTTGATTTCATATCATGGTGTATGATTCACACAATTTATATAGCACTTTTTTCCATTGTTTTTAGCCATTTTGGTCAAATCAAGGTAATGAACTTATGTTTTTCGCTTTTCAACATTTGGTCGATAGTTGAGAGGATTGCCACGATTTCTTCGAGGTTGCCGAAAGAGTATGTTCTTAGGTACAGAATGAATTTTACGTCAAACTCTCTAAACCAACTTAGTTATCGTCCATATTTTGATAAATTGTTCAGGGTAAAAGTAAACTGGCGCATCCTTTTAAATGGAGTCCTTTAAATTCATGTTCGTGGAAGATAACCCTGAAATAACTCCCTGAACAAAGCGCGTCAGGTGAGGTCTGGACAATAGAAACATCTACAAGTCTTCAGAGAAAGAGCTGTGCTTTATCTTTAAATTTGCATGTCGGCTTTTGCTGGGGGGGGGGGTCGAGAACGCCGACGTCGCCGGCCATCCGGCTATTCGTATGCTTATTAAGCGTGGTTATCATCCCCAATAGCAGTCCTATTGGCTCGCTGAAGGGGAGCTTCTCGGAATTAATTCAAAACGGGGCCTATTTTGTGTTTACGCATGCCAACATTTGCATATTATTATATTAATAAATATAAATCGTCTCATTTGTGTCGTAGGCTTTTCTCTGAGGTTTCGGCCGTTGTGCCGTTTCCGGCAACGGTTCATCCACTCATAAATAATCCATACTAATGGGGAAGGAAACGCTTTTCCTCTAGCTGTTAACTTACAGTGGCTTCATGGCCAGAATATGCTTAATTATACGTATTAAACTTCATTCATTATATAACTTTATATCTAGGTTAAATAATTTAAAACCTATAGTCCGTAACTAGCGAAGCTTGGCCAAGAATCTTCCTCCTTACGGGGTAAAACTACTGCAGAATACTGTATTGCAATTAATGTGGACCGAGTAATGCGAGTAAAATATATCATTAATAGGTTTACGCATGTAATTAGAAAAGCGTGTAGAAAAGAATGGCTTTTTAGGCACTTTCATTTTCATTGCAGGCCTGGTTATAATTATTAGTTAAGTTAAGTTGGTCTGTACGGCGGTTCTGAGGTGTAATGAATTTATTTTGACCTAAACGACCATAGAAAATATTAGGTCCTTGTGAAGGAGATTTCCTATGATAGTCTGGATTATTTTGTGTTGGAATGGTCGTGTCATGAACCATTCAAGAGATATTGGGCAGTTAGATTGATCTGCTTTGTAAACATGCCTGTAATCAAAGGTATTCAGTAGTAAGTGATTTAGGTATCATCGAATTCAGTAAAATTTGTCTTAGCTGTCCTCTCACATTCTCTATCGATGTTACAAAATGTTATTTCACTAAGGTAGGATCTACGCGAATAAGGGGGATTACACTAGGACATCGTGATGGCAGACGTCCAACGCCTTTTCTGTATTGAGAGGTCTTGTGTGCCTTTTTTGTAGGTAGATGAAGGACTTTACTAATTTTGATCAAAAGTCATTCAAAAGTCTTTCAGTCAGTTGCTTAAGACTACGCTGGTACTCTACTTGCATGACAAAAATATTTTATCAGATCAATAAACAATTAAAAAAGAAAGTAAACCTACTTCTTGGTTAGAACACAAAACAACGATTTATACTGTCTATCGATATCTATATTTTACCCATTTTACCTAACTAAAGTCTAATATTACAAAAAGTAGTGGGTTTTTTGTTCACGTTTAAATTTCCTCCATGTCGTGGAAAAGTGCTAAGAGACGTGCCTCGCATGCACGATGGCCGTGTGTTATTCATGCAGATTTTAACAGAATCGAGGCCGTGGTATAGAAATGAAACCGCGAGCTATTTCTTTAAACGTAATCGATTTACTTTCCGAATTTCAGCCGGTCCGGAAAGACAGTATGTTAATCGTGTTAAAACAGAAACAAGTGTGTTGTTTTGCGGGATGTGTTCAGTGGGACAAGTTTGTTTTATAGAAACCTCGTTCCCGTTTCTGTTATTCCTCCCGACTTACAGCTTTATAACATGCCTGCGGATTTCCCTCGGTTGAATCTCGATTTTCCTGTGGCCCAATTCAAAACAGGGGTTTCTTACCCAATTCATATAACCAGACATAAGGCCGATTATTTGTGCTCTCTCACGATAGTGAAATTGTCACAAGTATCAGGCAGCATTTTCTGCTGTGAGTGGTAGACAGTTGTAGTAGATTGCAGGAAACGTGATAAATAACAGAGTGAAGCTTGTTTGTTGAGATTTGGTTTCTTTGAGTCTGATCCATCCACATATGCTTCTGGAGGTTTTTGAAGTGCAGGTTTTCAAAACAAACTTCGATGCCATAACCACATATCTACTGCTCAAGGAAGGATAAGATGATGCCTACCAACCTGTGACACTGTTCAAACCCCCATGGTTGGAATGACTCTGGCGCTTTTGAGAATGAGTTATGGTAGACAGTTGTAGTAGATTGCAGGAAACGTGATAAATAAAAGATTGAAGCTTGTTTGTTGAGATTTGGTTTCTTTGAGTCTGATCCATCCACATATACTTCTGGAGGTTATTGAAGTGCAGGTTTTCAAAACAAACTTCGATGCCATAACCACATATCTACTGCTCAAGGAAGGATAAGATGATGGCTACCAACCTGTGTCACTGTTCAAACCCCCATGGTTGGAATGACTCTGGCGCTTTTGAGGATGAGTTATGGTTATGTTCCAGGTGTTTTTCGGTTTTCAGGAACAGAGTTGTAGATTTAAGGTGATGTGGCGATTTCGTTCTGTCGATTTTCATTCTTTAATCATTCCTCCAAACATGAGAGATGTTTATGGAGAATTCTGAAGATCACCGGGTCTGGGCTTGCTCAGATGATTGCGGTCTCCTCTCCATATATGACAAGGACTGTGATTGATAAGAATGTATACAGCCTTGCGGATCACCTTCAGTGTTGGAGTAAGGAGAAGGCTGTTCCGATTCGTACTTTTATGCAATGAGTGTATAATGAGGTAATCACGAATGGAAGGATGTCTCTGATCCTTTCTTGTACCTTTCATCACAAATAAAAGAAATGCCCTGAAGATTTCTCAAGGTCATTGCTTGGTCTGTTTCTACTGTCGTATACATGACCCAACATTGAAGATGGCGAATTGCCGAAACACATGCGACAGGCCAGCACAGCGAGAATAAGAACGTCATTATGAACTGTATTGATAAGAATGTCTGCGGTGTAATGAATAATTGATGGGATCAAGGATGCAGCCTTCCACAACACCTCGTAATGGGTAAATGCGCCCCTCCCCTCTTCGTTTGTTGTTGCAATTTAAATACCTATGGGACAGTTAGGATATTACGATGCGGTAGTAAGTGGATAAATAAAATCCACGGGTTTTCTCACGTTTAGGAAACACCCGACTGGTTTTATGGGGCGGGCGGTGATGCAACCTCTACCACCGGCACTGTTGAATGGTGGGATAAAAAAATATAAGTTTATCAGTTCAAGTTTTGCAAGGATTTTGCCTAGTAATGGAACGGTATGATGCAGAATTTCGATATTTTGAGATTTGACAGTGTTCGTTGAGAAGTAGGTACAAGTTGTAAGTGATTGGAAAACGATGTGGTTTTTAAGGAATGTTGTTGTTGGTTTTTGAACTATTTCTTGACCTATTCTTGCAAACGAGAGATAATGCTCGAGATTTCTGAAGGAAAATCTAGTGATATCTATTTCCACTACTCCTTTTATTACCTTTTCTTCTTTATTTGAATGATAAACCAAAAACAAAACGTCTTTCATTGAAAGGCATTAGGGAATACTTAGTCATTGAACGAACTCAATAAAACATATTTTCTTGCCGTATTTTTTCATTATCACTCTTAAATGATAGTTAATGATATAATGACAGTTTAGGAAGGACTCGGTTAATAATAAAACAAATGCGACCGGTAGCTTCGGATTATTACTCTTGACTCGCCATGAAACGAAACCTTGAGAGAAGAAAACATGTGGTAAATAAAATAAATGCTCCCATTACGGTCGTATTATCGCACTTAGTAGTCATAAAATAGAATCGCGGGTAGCCGGGATTTATGTGTGATTATAAGCACTATGTGCTTAACTGCGGGGGCGCTTGATCGGGGTTTTAACTTAAGAGGATTGACTGTCCGCTCGACACGTTATATTACCGTCAAATTTCAAAAATTGCTTATGCCCATGGATAAAAAAGTGCAAGTTGATTTTCGAGCGATACTAAATTCAGGAGGAAATGGGTTTTGAAGAATCTTTTTATTTGTAATATAGGTCATATCCGAGAAATTAAGGGCCCCCACTTAAAACAACTCATTGGAACATATTTACAGATAAAACTCGAGAAGAGAACTTATATTTCATTTAAACGCAGCGTCGCCGTGCTTGAAACTTTTTTTGATTCGCACTTCACGGCTTGGTTAAGTTGTTACGTTATAGCTGATAGAATCGGAAAACCATTAAACACAATTATTAAGTTTCAGGGCAGACATGGAAGATCGATAGCCACCGATACAGTGGTTATTGTTCATAAATATGTTTTATGAATTTCTCCTTCGTATTCGCGTGATGAATAACCTAAAAACTTCGCCTTTGTGACAGGGATACAAGTCATATATGAATAATTTTACCTCTCTCACGAGCTTTGAGGGCGCCCCGGCCCTTTGAGGGCGCCCCGGCCGCAACTTTTGTGATCCCTGACACAGAAATAAACTTTAGAAGGATTTCGTCGTATAAAATTTATGTAAAGTATTTAAACTTACTTAAATCTACAGTTTTTAAAATGACGTCGGATTATATATATAAAAAAAGTTAAACTTTTACAAATAGGATCCTGCCAGCATCACATTTGAACTGATTTGATGCATCTTCTCCTTCCCTGTATTTTGGATAGGGTTCGGTTCCGGCAGATTTTATTTATAGAAGTGGGCGCATTATTGCCAGCATTATTTATCTCACAGGAACTTTGGTTCGGGTCTAACAATTTTTCAATACCGAGCCCCGACCCCACCATATTTACAGTCTTACATGTATTATCGGCTGTAACTTGTAGTTCCTGTGTAAATTCACCAATTTCTAATCTCTTATACGGGGGAAACGTTGTGCAGAGGGCACGGGGCCTGGTCCCCTTTTTCATACTATTTATTTACGCTTCCTTTCAAAATCTACGTTGGTAACCATCTGGGTGGACACACACGATCGATTGTCGGAAGCCTTTTGCTTCATTCAAGCTCCGAGATAAATTTCGACTCATGAGATAACAGATTTGGAAAACAATCAAAACAACAGATTTATTCCCCACTCCGTAATTTCTATATTATATTTCTTACATCGTAGAATTCATATTGGATGAGGCTACCTGATCGAATCTTGGAATGTCATATTTTATGTGGAAACAAAATGTGAAATGATAAGCAGTAAACGAACCGAAGAACCCAATAACCGACGGGTGCAAACGCTGACTGTTGATAGAAAAAAAGAGATCTAATGCAGGAAGTGGTTTGAGCAGTTAGGTGTTGAATGTCCATGCCATGGTTCAGGGTTCATCTTCATCACATATAAGGGTGCCCCTGGGATTTCCGACACCCCCCCCCCATATAAAAAAAAATCCTAACCTATTATTTTGCTGTTGCAAAATATGGAAAACATAAAGCCTAAAAAAATAATAAGATAAACACTTTTGGTCCAGTCGACCTACGATTAGAACGCTATTAGAATCTTGACGCTTATGTCGTGGGCTCCATACCCACTGGTGCGCCTGTGACCCCCCCCCCCCACAAAAAAGAAGCCAAACTAATTTTTGATGTTGCTAAATATGGAAAACATAAAGTCATCAAACTCTCCGTTCCTGTATCTAGCCCTCCAGTATAGAGCGAACTTCTTGTTACCGCCAGGCACAACTCTAAAATACGCTTCCAACTGTACTATTTTTTGCTGCTGCTAAGTATGGAAAACATAAAGTCATCATACTCTTCGATACTGTTAATAAGCTGCCAATGACCTCGAGGTTTGGAAACGAACGAATGATCAAAAACGATCTAACTAAAATCATTTTCTTCTTGTCTTATGTTGTAAGAAATATATCACCAATGTTTATACATTTTATGTAAAAGGTTCAATTGCGTGGACGTCAAAAGATGGACGGAGCGCGTTTGAGGACGAGGGAATTCGGTAGAAATATTCTCAAAAAGCTTTTCCTCGTTGGCCCTAGGCCTGGGATAATAAAGGACAAAGTAGGCTCAAGGTTTCAGCTGCGCGGAGAGCGAGAGACAAGGAGATCCACTCTCCCAGCCAACTATTTAATGCAAAGTAATCGTTTTATTACATTTTTATGAAGCTTGTATCAAACAATATATCTTATACGGCTAATAAATTCGATCGGACCTTAGAAACTCTTATGCCCATTTTCGATTATTTTCACCTATTTTCTGCCAGTAGTTGGATTTGATGGCGGTTTTCTGGCTGGTTTACTGCAGGGTGCAAAACGCACAAAATGAGCGTGATCTAGATCCGACGAGCATGAAATTCAAGTTGATAATAATTTGGAAAACTGTACTGTAAAGCCAGAATCTTTGGACGCGATACCATATCCAACGTGACGCTTAGCCCCCCCCCTCCTGTGAAGGAATTTCATAAACTCATGGGTCTTTCTTTTTTCTCCGACAATACGTGAACCAATCTGGCCGAGTAGTTTCCTGAGCTTCCAGATACCTTTTTGGTCTATTGTGGCATCAGACTTCCAACTGTACTATTTTTTGCTGCTGCTAAGTATGGAAAACATAAAGTCAGCATACTCTTCGATCCTGTTAATAAAAGCTGCCAATGACGACTCGCCAGCGGTACATTTTTGCGGCGTAAATCCAGCAGTCAGCTGGTCAGTCACTCCTGCTGTAATGAAGGTGGCACATTATTCTGTTAATGAGTAGATTTTCCGAAATTTTACCTCCAATTGGCAGCAAATTAATTGGGCGATATTAGAGGAGCGTCTTTTTTAGATGCTTTTTCAGGTTTAACTATTAGAACCAGAATCGATGTTTTCCAAATCTTGGGGAAACGTCCTCGTTTGAGGCAGGCGTACATTTCTGTAAGTGTGAGAGGAAATTTCTGTGAGATTCTCCCAATTATTTTTGTAAATACATCTTCACCGGGTGCTTTATTTTCATTAAATTCAGTGTGCATTTTTTATTTCTTGTGCAGTAAAATATTTTTTTATTCTTGTGTGAAGTTTGCTCGACGTAATTAAGTTGAAGATTTGTTGTTCAAACGGGGTCGTTATAGGGCGCCGTTCACTGTGTAGTATATGGGGGGGGGGGGGAGTGAACAATGCATGTCTCAAAGGAGTATTTATGGGTGGAACCAAGATTCGGGCTCACGTTTACGTCGAGATATATGTGGTCCGGTCAACCGTAGCCCTAAACCCAAGGCCCCTGGCCTGCCTTCAAATTCTATTTCCTCCCAACCCCTCAAAAAAAAAAAAAAAAAACCCTTTTATTGCAAGAAAAAACCAACTTGTTTCTGAGCTTTGCTTATAAAATTAAAACAAAATATATTATGAAAACTTTCATTTGTGGATAATGATTCTTCGTTGTAATTGTTTGTTCTATATTTTTCCATCAAAGTAATGGCGTCCAAATGAATGGGTAGAAAGGATCATCACAACCAATGACAATATCGGCGGAGTAGACAGAATTCGTACGCGAATGCCACTTTCCCTACAACCTCGATCTTCTCACTAAAATACTATTGCACCTTAGACACTACGGTATGTGCACTTTGCATGGCATCACCCAAATGTACTGATTTGGTAGTAAAACCAAGACTCATAAAAATGCGTACACTGGGTTAAAAACCGGGCTCAAGGTTATCAGCTGACAGTTAAACTGAGCATGTATGAGTGGGGGGTCCGTATGCAAGAACGTTCCTTGGCAGAGTTGGGCTTTTCGAGAGTACTTGAAAACTTCGACTTGTGCCTAACGATCGGCATCATTGCCTCAATTTGGATAGGTAGTCAACTTTGAATCTGGAAGGGAATCGCGAAAAGGTCGGCCTCGTAAGGAATAAGAGGCTATTTTTTTTTTGTTCCTAGTTTGCCTCAATTGTTTTTGTCATTTAAGTGGTTTCCTTTCTTTTTAGCCATCATAATGGTTTCTTTGTGTAGTCCATATAAGAAAAAGTGGTTTGCTCTCTCTTCCTGGCCACATTGACATAGGAGTGATGGTTAGAGATTGATGTAGTGAAGTTTTGGTCGCCATGCTCAATCACGAACTCGGACATGTAGTGGTTAAATTTCGTGTTAAGGAGATGTCTAATATCGAGGAAAATTATGAAATATTTATTTCCCTTTGTAGAATTGTCTTCTTGAGCTTGCCATTCAATCAATGTCCATTCTTGGCACATCTTCCTTGGTAGTTAAGGAGAGATTTTGTCAATTTTATCCGGATTTCATTAGCATTTCAGAAATGTTTTACACCACGTGTTGCCATTAGTAAAACTAATCTTTTGGCCTTTTCTTGAATTTCGCAGTGTTTACATTTTAAATCTTAAATGTGTGTGTGGACGCATATAACAAGATTCGAATAATGCCTCATTGCCCATATGGGATCTCTCAAAGCGCATCTGCTGCTGGCATTTTACTTAATATGTTGTGTTTTTACGGTAGTTATAGAACACCTAGGTCTTTTCTTTATCATTGCGTACCTCTTGACTCTGCATAATGTTACCCTAAGGTCTCTGGCTTTTTACTCTTAAGAGTTCTCTCGTACCCATCCGCATTTTATTAAACTTTAGTTTGCATATGTTTGTATTTGTACCTTGTGAGTGTTATACCTACAATTTCTTGTTATCTTATGGCATTCGACTATGCTGGGATGTGGAACTCGTATTCTTTGATTTAGAATTGGGTTTACATGTGTTGTACATGTGTGTAAGCTATATATCACATGAAACCGAAAAATAGCCCTTCTGTTAAAAATGGTGTTCTCCCCGCATTAGCCGAAACGTTTTTCACCCCACATAGATTCGTCACATCTGACTTTCTCATAATAATTTGTACCGAGTGAATCCAAATACTACTCCCGCAGATTTATGACTACATGCTTTTAATATACACTGGGCCTGATAAAAATGTTCCATTAGACGCGGTAATTGACATTTATTCATTTGCTGTTTTGTTTCTTTGTTTAAGTAATTTTCATTATCATTGATCCAAAATTCGGATTTAATTTAAGAAAACTCTTGGAGTGCGTTGTTTATCGTTCAATTCCGTTCAATATCTCCGTTTGTGATAATCCAGTCCTCCGATTAAACACCTACAATTAAACCATTTTACGTAAACCTCTCACAATCCACCTCGATTGGTTATTAAATTGGATCGGTAAGCAGGATTTACTTAATTTATTTGCTTAAGACCCCAAATCGACCGGTAGAATAAACCAATGTATAAGATGTAATTTAAATAATCTTGGACTAGTCAGTACTCGTTTGAAATCCAAAGATGAACCAGTATTCAAAACGTACAAGTATGATATAAAAATGTCTAATTGCTTTCTTAGCAATTCAGCTCTTTTTTATTTCTTTTCTTTATTCTAAGTTTTTAATTCAAACAAAAAAACTATTATGAACAAAAAATGTATAGAATAATTCGTACGTGTGAAAAA